AGTCTACACATTGAATGCCTATATTAAAAAATACATATTTCAATCAACTTAATGATGCACCTCAAGGATTGTGAACAGCAAGAATAAACTAAATTGCAAATTTTAGAAGGAAAGAAATTAACAAAGATCAGAGCAGAAATAAGTAAAATAGAGAAAAAAATTAAAAACAAAAAGATTCATGAAACAAAGAGTAGGTTCTTTGAAAAAGATGAATAAAACTGACAAACTTTTATCTACACTATCCAAGAAAGAGAGAGAAGACTCAAAACTAAAGATTAAAAGGAAGACATTACAACTTATGCTACAGAAATACAAAGGATCATTAGGACTACGAAAATTTACATGTCAGAAAGTGGAAACCCTAAAAGAAATGGACATATATCTGGACACTTATGTCCTAACAAAATTTAATCATGAGGACCGGAAAAAAACATGACTAGACCAATAATAAGTAATGAGACTGAGTTAGTAATACAGTTTCCCAACAAAGAAAAGCCCAGGGCCAGATAACTTTATTGCTGAATTATCAAACATTTATTTCTGTGTGGGAGGGTGCTAGTGATGTGGAGAGGTCTTGTTATGTTGCCAAGGCTGGCCCTAAACTTGTGATCCTCTTGCTTCAGCCTACTGAATAGCTGGGATTATACTTTATCAAACTTTTAAAAGAACTAATGCCAATTCTTTTCTAAGTATTTCACAGAACTGAAAGGGAGGAACTCTTCCAAACTCATCTTAGGAGATAGCATTACCTTGTTATTCAAACCAGAAAAGGATGCCAAAACAACAACAACAACAACAACAAAAAACTATCAGCTAATACCTCTCATGTATATAGATACAAAAATTTTCAACAATATAGTAGCAGATAGGGGTTGGGGATGTAGCTCAGTGTCAAAGAGTGTTTGCCTAGCACGAGTAAGGCACTGGATTTGATCCTTAGCACCACATAAAAATAAACAAATAAGGGGCTGGGGTTGTGGCTCAGTGGTAGTATGTATGCTTAGCATTTTTGAGGCACTGGGTTTGGTTCTTAGCACTGCATATAAATAAATAATATAAAGGTCCATCAATAACTAAAAAAAAAAAAAAAGGCCTGCTGTCCATCTACAACTACAAAAATTTTAAAAATACTAGCAAATCAATTTGGAAGATTGGAACTATATTGCTGATAAGAATGTAGAATGCTTCAACTAATTTGAAAAATACTTCAATAGTTTATTAATATTTTAAATTAATGCCTATCACATTATCTAGCTACTCTATTTCTCAATATTTACCCCAAAGAAAAGGAAATATATATGTTCATACAAATGTTCATGGCTGATTTATTTGTAATGAGCTCAACTAGAAACAATAAAGATGTACAACAGGCAAGTGTAAAAAAAATACTAGCAAATCAAGTTCAGCAGCATAATAATAAAAAAAAGGTCAATCACCATAATCAAATTAGATATGATCCAAGGATGATTCAACATATGCAAATGAATAAACATAGTATATAACATCAAAAAGAATAAAAATCATATGGTCATCTCAATAGATGCAGAAAAAGTATTTGATAAAATTCAGCATGACTTCATGATAAAAGCTCTACATAAAATAGATACAGGATTGTACCTTAACATAATACAGGCTGTAAATGACAAACCCACAGCTAACATCATACTGAATGAGGCAAAGCTGAAAGCAGTACCCCTGAGATCAGGAACAAGGGCACAGGCTGTCCACTATCACTGCTTACTAGAAGTTTTAGCCAGAAAATTAGGCAAGAGAAAGAAAGAAAAGGGATATAATTAGAAAGGGAGGAAGTCAAATTATCCATTTGCAGACAATTATATATGCAGAAAAACTAAAAGCTCCACCAAAAGACTATAAAAACTTATGTACAAATTCAATAAAGTAGGAGGATAAACACACACCACCCCCCACACACATCAGTAACTTTTCTATATACCAATATAATGAATTTGCTGAGAAAGAAATCATGAAAATACTCTCATTCACAATAACTATGAAATAACAACAACAACAAAACTCCCTAGAAATAAAACGCATCCAAGGAACTAAAAACCTCTACAATTAAAAAAAAAAAAATACAAAACACCAATAAAGTAAATTGAAGACAGGCAGGCAGGCAGACACACACACACACACACACACACTGGAGACCTCTTACATTCATGGATTAGAAGACTTGGTATTGTTAAAACGACCACACTACCCAAAGTGATATACAGATGCAAAACAATCCCAATCAAAATATCCCAGACATCCTAACAGGATTAGAAAAAACAATTTCAAAATTAACATGGAAGCGCAAAAATTGTGAATAGCTGAAGTGATCACAGGCAGAAAGACCTAAGCTGGAAACATCGTAATGCCTGATTTCAAAAATACTACACATATGATAATCAAATTAACATCACACTGGCATATAAATGGACGAAAGAACAGCAGACATACAGAAATACCAATCCCCCAATATCTAATACCTCCTTATTCTCAACAAAAGTGCCAGAAACACACCCTGGAGAAAGGAAAGCCTCTTCAATAAAGGGCAGTAGGAAAACTGGATATCTACCTGCAAAGACAGAAACTTGACCTTCTCTCTCACCATGTTCAAGGATCAACTCAAAATAGATCAAAGAATAAAATGTTAGACTTGAAATTCTGAAACTATTAGAAGAAAACATGGGGGGAAAACTTCAAAACGAACATTAGTTCAGGTAATGGTTTTCAGGAAAGGACCCCAAAAGCACAGGAAACAAAAGCAAAAACTGATTAAGATTATCACATCAAACTAAAAGGCTTCTCTGTCAGGCACAGTAGTACATGCCTACAATCCTAGAGACTTGGGAAACTAAAGCAGGAGGATTGCAAGTTTGAGGCCAGCCTCAGAAATTTAGCAAAATTAAAATAAATAAATAAAAAAGGCTGAACATGTAGCTCAGAGGTAGAGTATTACAGGGTTCCATCCATAGTACCCCGCCACACACAAATAAAAATAAAAGTAAAAATCTTTCTGTTTTTTATAATCATAATCAATGGAGTGAAGAGACAACCCTCAGAATGGAGAAAATATCTGACTGACAGAGGATCAATATCCAGAATACATAAAGAACTCAAAAAACAAAAAACCAGCAATCCATTTTAAAAATGGGCAAATGATCTGAAGAGACACTTCTCAAAAGAAACACAAATAACCAAAAAATATATGAAAAAATGCTTAATTGCATTAGCTATAAGATAAATACAAATCAGAACTATAATAAGATACCACTGAGTAGCTATTATAATACCATAGAATAGCTATTATTAAAAAAAAGCTGGCAAGGATAAGGAGAAAAAGGAGTTTGTATACTCTTGGAGGGAATGAAAATTAGTATAGCTATTATGAAGAACAGTACAAAGATTCTTCAAAAAATTAAAAATAGATTTATCAAATGACCCAGTTATTCCACTTCTACGTATATATCCAGAGGAAATGAAACCAGCATATTCACTAAATACCTGCATGCCCAAGTTTATTGTGACACTATTTACAAGAGCTAAGAATTAGTCTTATGTGCCCATCAACAGATGAATGGATTAAAAAAATATGTGGATGTATACACAAGGGAATATAACTAGCCACAAGAATGGAATCCTGTCATTGCAGCAAAATGAATTGAACTGGAGGACTTTATGTTAAGTGAAAAAAGCCAGATACAAAAAGACAAGTACCATATGTCTTTCATACGTGGAAGCATAAAAACGCTGACTTTAAAAGAACAGTGATTACTTGAGATTGGGAAAGGTATGTGTTGGGGGGAGTGGTTGGAAAAGGGGGGATGGATTTGATCACTACACGCTATATATGCATAGATGGAAATATCACACTAACCCCATGAACATGTATGATTTGATTAGTGCACACTCTATGCATATACAGAAATATCATACTAACCCCACTAATATGTACAATTACTACATATTAATAAATAAGGGGATTGCAAATGAAGACCACAGTGATTTATTAGCCACCAGATTGGCAAATATTAAGAAATTTACAAAACTAATGAAAGAGAATGCATTAATGAAAAGCATTATATAGGGCTGGGGATGTGGCTCAAGCGGTAGCGCTCGCCTGGCATGAGTGCGGCCCGGGTTCGATCCTCAGCACCACATACCAACAAAGATGTTGTATCTGCCGAGAACTAAAAAATAAATATTAAAAAAAAAATTCTCTCTCTATCTCTGTCTCCCTCCTCTCTCACTCTCTCTTAAAAAAAAAAAAAAAGAAAAGCATTATATACTGCTAGTGGTGTAAATTAGCAAAACCATTTTGAGAAACAATTTGAGACTGTAAAAGTGAGCAAACCCTACAACCCACTGCCACATTTATAACTTTACTATGCCTCTGTTCCAAAAGATATGATAAGAATGCTCTAAGCAACAAAGTTTGTATTAGTAAAGAACTGGAAAAACCCTATAGGAGAATGGATACACAGTGGTAAATTTTCTTAGTAAAATTCTGAACATCAGTGCAAATGAATGAGCTACAGCTATAAGCAACATGGATAAATAAAAGCAGAACAAAATAATAAAACAAATCCCCAGAGAGTACTGAGAATATAATGCCATTTTTACAAAGCTTAAAAATTAACACACCTATGATAAACCTAGCTTTTAAAAAGCAGAGAAAGCAAAAATCTTTGTCACTGGTTATAGAAAGTGGAGATGATTGAAGGTTATGATAAGAGAAGTGCATCTAAGTGGAGGCCAGTTGGTGATAATGATAGAGTTGTTGGATTGGTTGGGAGAGGTAGAAAACTCCATTTTAATACTAATATGCTTTATAATCTAACTTCATAATTTAGGTAAATATGTGTATACATACATACATATATTCTTTTATTCTATGACATATATAAAATAAGTTTTAAAAAGAAGAAAGATGACTAAAATATGCTAGCTAATATTCATGGCAATGGAAACAAAATCTCTAGCCTAATACTTACTGGTCAAGGGTCTTATAATAAATGTCCAGATCTTTGTTTACCAGCTCTGTTGTTCTCATAACAATCATCATTTCTCTATATTTTTCCTCAGCATCTCGAAACTGAGGTTCTCGAAGTTCTTTCTTAAAATGAATAATTTCTTCCTCGTAACCTTTCTGTCGCCCCAGTGCCAAACTGTGATTTCTTTTTATATTGTCTATGTTCTCTTCCAACTTCTGATGTTCACTGTAAAAGGGAAAAATTTTTTTGTTCACAATATGTCCAAGACAGTCTAGTTTTATCTGAAATAAACAATTTTCTACAGTAATTTTTATGAAAAAGCTAGACTTCTCTATTAAAAAAAAATTTACTCTTGCACCCAAGTATAAAAACTGTAACACTGACTAAAAAGAAGTAAAATAATCAAAATCTTATGATAATCTAGCAGGTTATACAGGCTTCAATGTATATTTTAAAATTTTTTAATTTATTTAACAATTGTTTATTTATTAAACATCCTCTTAGGAGCTAGACATTGCTCTCAAGTTTATAGACATCTGAAAGCTGGCCTGATTGTACGTTCTGTTGATATTTCTGTTGTATCCTAGTTGAAGAAAGGTTTGAAAAAGAACAGATGAATTTGAACAGATGAATTTGAAATCTGAGTGAATGTAAAAGGCATTATTAAGCACTAATCATAGAAATTTTTAAAATATCTGGTTTGGGTCTTTAGTAGTAAAGAATAAATTATTTCATTTAAAGTTCCTTCTAAAAGCTTTCCTTTTCCAACTTGCCAGAGAAAGCACGAATATCACTGTGTTAGAGCTGAGGTTTGAGAGCTAAAGGGATGTTGGGGTCATATTCTTGGTTTTCATCATAATTTTTTCTGTGACTTTTCTGAGTCTTGGTGTCCAAATCCATAAAAAATGAAGAAGCCAAAGATAATAAGCTCTTCCAGTTATGGTCTTCGCTATCTCAAAGAAATTTTGAATAGATAAACCAAGTACTTAACCACTTGTTAGACTGTATAAAGTAAATTAAAACTTCACTTTTACTATATCCTTTAGAAAATCCTAAGCATTCTTTGATTCAGATTTCTGAAAATGAACAAGGAAGAACTGAATAAATAAATGAGACCTCGATTAAAGCTGTTGAGGAGGTTAAAAATGGCAAGTACAATCTTTTACACCTGCCTAGTATTTTAGAATCAAACAGCTTCTTTGAGAATTCTTAAGTTAACTTTAATGTAGGGAAGGAACAAAATCTTTTCTGTTGTACCAGGAAGGAAGCACCCACAATAAATACCAATAATACCAAATGAAGGAAGAGTCTGGCTAATATCTCTCTCTCTCTCTCTCTTTCTCACATACACTCAAAATGTTCTAGTGGGCACAAAATTATAACCAGGACATAAGTCTCCATTGACAAATTGCTCTGGAAATAACTCCACTGGCAATATCATGAACTGTACAAGTTATAAGCCAGGTAGAGCCCATAGTTGTATATTCTGTGTGCTCAGTACCACTAGCCTGTGTGCAGTAGGTTAGCAGAAGTCTGGGGACCTGGGATAATACTAATTACTGTCCCTTCCCGCAGTATGATTATCAATTTTATATTACTTTTCAGTAATTCAATTTTTAAGGCTATGAGATATAAAAACTGTGTCCACCTTCCTTTAAGTCTCTAATATTAGGCTGAGGCTTAAATTCTTCCACAAAATAGTTATTTAATTTCCTTACATTACAATAATAAACACCTCTATTTAAACTAAGAACTATTTTTAAAAACCCACTTTTTCATTTGTAAAACCTGCATTTGACCCATTTCCTTCAAATGTTGTTTTCTTTCTTCTTCAACTTCTTTTAGTTCCTCATTTCTTTTTCTTAAAGTGAGGTTGTCCTGTAGCCATCTTTCTTGTATCTAAATATAAATATTAAGTCAGTTAATGAAAACAATCAAGTTATGAACAGGAGATACATAACAGAAACATGCCAACAGGTAGTGCTAATTCGGCCTTAATTAGAATCATGTTAAATTGGACAAAGGGAGAACTAACCAGTGTGAAGTTATCTCTAGGCCTATACTAATCTAGATGGCTAATAGTCACAGGAGGGACATCTGTAATGTAGCTTTTAGTGCCCTTTCCTGACCATGATGTAAAAAGTTATTTTCCTATTTGACTGGGTGGTCACATAACAAATGATATGAGCACATATCTTTGTGTACTTGTTTATTTATGAAGTATTTGGTTAAAAATGCTATTGAATATGTTCATCAAAACATATGCAAAACAGGAATTTAATATGATGAAACAAAAAATTACACAGTTAATATCTATATTCCAGTGAATCACATCATGTCCAGAAACTGCATGATGGAACCTGTTGATCTAAAAGATAGTAAGACTCATCAATATGTACAATTTTAGTGTCTTTATGGTATCAGTTAAAAATAAGTCTAATTTTAAAAAATCACAAGAGATCACTACTACTGCTGAAATCTCCCTATACTTACCATGTGCCAAGACTATTAGATTCTATAAGTATATGTGTGATACAACCTCTGCTTTCAAATTTACAAAAATAGTGTAAGCATCTAACATGAATTTGGAGCATTTCAGATTTTCTGGATTAGGGCTGCTCAACAAATAAAGTCTATGCAAACATCGCAAATCCAAAAGACTGAGATCTGAAAGACTTCTGGTCTCATGTGCTTTAAATGAGACTCTCAATTTATAATGGTCATACAAGCAGTAAGAGGTGCCATAAAAGTAGTGTTTGTCTACAAACTTCTTGATATATTCCTGGCTATTGAATTGAATTTGTAAAAACTACCTGCTACTACTCCTTAAAAAGGATAATCCCTTAGTAATGGCAGCAAAAAAAAATTTTCTCAGTAGCTTTCCTGGTGTGTATATAATGAATTATACTGTCAAGAGATAAACACTAGGAAGCAATTTATAACTTGACTCTTTGGAATTAAAAAAATCTTGCAGAAACAATGGTGGTCTGGCCTCCATAATCCACATGTGTAAAATTTAACCTGAGTTTGCAGTCAGGACTTCTCAAATATTAAAGTGGGATATCTAATAATAGTCCTTGCAGCTGAGTAAAACTCAGGGATGCAGGAAGCCAAGGAGGGAAGGTCAGATTTTTGATAATACCTTACTGCCAACAATGAAGGTCAGGGAGAAAGGCAGGTAGGAGCAAGAAGGGAAGTTAAGAATTTTTCTCACATGCTCAATGTTCACGTCCAGCCTTAACTATCTAGAAATCACCATTTTTATGTTTTTTTAAAAACTTTCAAAAATTTAAGGCTACTTTCAATTTTCCTGAAAATATTATAAATAGACACAATTTTGCTAATGGCAATATTATAAGCAAAGGTAGCTAGAATGAAATGGTTTTAAAAGTTCTCTGAGGCTGAGACAACCACCATATGTAGTTATAGGTAGCTGCTATAGCACTGTAGTTAGCTGCTACACCTCCTCAAAGCTCTTCCATGGGAAACTATATTTCCTCATTAGGAAAAAGAAAATGTCCCAACGCCTGTTTTCATCTGATACTATGTAATACCTGAATCTGCTTTCATAACTACATGAAAGGACTCTTGGGGTTAAAGTGCTATCACATGTTAAGTAAGACTGATTTTTGGCAAAAAATGATATTTGTGGTCTATTTTCCTGCATGATCACCAGGAAAGCAGGCATTTCTTTCTTTTAGGTCAGCTTCTATTACTATTTAGCTTTGAAAGACAGTATATAGTGGAGTAGTTAAAAAGCAGAGGCTTTGCTGGGCATGGTGGTACAGGCCTGTAATCCCAGCTCAGGAGGCTGAGACAGGAGGATCCCCAGCACAAAGCCAGCCTCAGCAAGGGCGAGGCGCTAAGCAACTTAGTGAGACTGTCTCTAAATAAAATACAAAATAGGGCTGGGGATATGGGTAGTTGTTGAGTGATCCTAAGTTCAATCCCTAGTGTCCACCGCTCCCACTCCCCAAAAAGCATAGGCTTTGAAGTCAGGTATACTTAGGCTCCAATTTTGGTACCATAACTTTTAAACACAATAATTTGGACAGATTAGTTTAACTTTTCTGAACCTCAGTTTGCTTGTAACATGTAATGAGCTATTGTGAAGGTTACTTAAGTTAGTGTCTGTAATCAGTACAGTGCTTGGCTCAATAATTGAGAGTAAAAGCCTTCTGGGTCAAATTTATCCTTTTAACTCTAAGCTGTGAAAATTCCAATTATATCTTATAAAATATCAGAGAAAGGGAGGAAAGAAAACCAGATACAGTGATGGTATACCAGTACTGTTTTTCACTACACTAGAAATTTGACAATGTACAGTCAAGTTCTAAATCTGTTGCTACTTGTGTACCCTTGGTCAAGTCAGATCATCTTCATGCCCTTTGATATTGCCCTTCATTTGAAAAATAAGGGAGGCAGATTACTAGTTTTCAAATTATTTTATTCTTAGGATTAAATTTAGTAGGGCTTAAATCAGCATGTAAACAAATATTATTAGTTTTCCCAGTTCTTAAACAGCAACTCTACTGCAGTTATAGTTCAGTGGTAGAACACTTGCCACACATGCGTGAGGTACAGGGTTTGATCCTCAGTACCAAATAAAAATAAATAAATAAAATAAAGGTATAAAAAATAACATTAAAAAAATAGCAACCCTAATCAGTTAGCTCAGATGATACATTGTGCAAGCAGTTTGCTGTATTAGGTCTTTCCAAAGACAGAACTAATAGGATATATAGGTATAGATACATGAGAAGAGATTTATTAGGGCAACTGGCTTGTGTAGTCATGAAGGGTGAGGAATCTCATGATAGCAAGCTGGAGACCCTGGGATGCCCAAAGTATGGCATAGTTGAAGAGTAAAGCCTCAGAACCAGGGAGCTCAATGGAATAGCCAATGGTATAATTCTCAGTGGGAGGCCAAAGGTCTGAAAACCCAGGGGGCCATTGGTCTACAACCAGAGTCCTAAGGCCAGAGAGCCCAGAGTTCATATTCAATGGCAGAAGAAGAAGAGTAGCCTAGCTCCAGAGAAAGAAAGAGGATTTTTTTGTTGCTGTTGTTCTCCTCAGGTTTCTGGCTAATTGGATTGTGTCCATCCACACTAAGAGCAGATCTTCCATACTCAGTCCACTGACTCACAGACCAATCAACTCTGGAAACACCTTCAAACATACTCAAGGGTAACATTTTGCCAGTTCTCTAGGTATACTTTAATTCAGTCATACTGACACCTAAAATTAACCATCAGAACCCCACCTCTTCTCAACTTGGCATCCAAACATATCTCCTTAAACTATACTTTCATATCTCCAAATAAAGACAACAAGATTATAGTTCTGCCTAACAATATATCCTATATTCAGTTGAAAACTCACTAAATCTCTTCCCCAGAGACTTTACAAGGAGGTAAAGTCTTTGGGTAATATTATTCCTGTCCTGATTCCCATAACTTGAATAATATGATGTAAATATTTTTTATTATTTTTTAATTTTAGGTGGACACAATATCTTTATTATATTTTTATATGGTGTTGAGGATCGAACCCAGTGTTTGCGCATGCCAGGCGAGTGCGCTACCACTTAAGCCACGTCCCCAGCCCTATGTTGTAAAATTAATAGTATATTCTCACATTAAATAACAGCCTTTTGATCAATGATAGACCACATATGATATGATGGTGGTCTCATAAGATTGTATTGCCTTGTAATGACGTAGCGATCTCAGTCTATGATATATGTACAAAAATGAAATTGCCTAATGACCCATTTCTCAGAATTTATCCCCATCATTCAGTGATGCTTGACTGTATATATATACACACATACAAACATATTATTAACAAAATAGGAAGAAAATGTTTATGACAATTTAGAGTTCTTGGTTCTGTAACTGGTCACATGGTAATAGCTGGCATTCAAAACTTCCTTCTCTTATTCTTTTTACCATTATTTATTCTTTTTGCTCAGAGTTGACCATGGTTCTCTACCTAGTATGGTGACCAAAATCTTCACATTCCTGAAAGTCTGAGTCATTCATAGTCCTGAGTGAAACAGGTTGTGGCAATTTTCCATTTGACCTTAATCATAGGGCATGGTAAAATTAAGAGATACCCTAAAAGGATTTCCTGTGTCCCAGACATCCTATTCTTTACCCTCACTATGGAACAGTAGTCCAATTTCCCCTTGTTAGTTAGGATCAATCACCACAGCCAGTACTGTAACTTTCTTCTGTATATGTTGACTCAGAGAAATAAAGAGCCCAAAGTGATAGGGTGGCCATCTTAACTTCCTGTGCAGTGAAATGACTGTTCTGTCTCCTGGTAGCAGGATACCTCTCTCTGGAGCTAAGACTTCTAAACTGGCAGAACGTTAAGTCAGGAGAATATGAAGCAAAAATTTTGCTAGTGGTCACTAGGGATAAGGGTCAGCTACTTCTATTTCTACCCCTTGATTCCTGGACCTATGAATCCTGGCTAGAGAAAAAAAAAATGGTACCATAAATTGTTCCCTTTTTAAGAGCACAGACAGCCTTCTGGAAAATCATGCCCCAATCCTGCAAAGTCACCTAGCTGGCACTATAAATGCATCTTCCAAAGATTATTTCAAAGTTCTATCAAGTCAGCTGCTTCAGGATGATAAGGATCATGTTAAAAACCACTGAATTCCATAAGCAGGAGCCCACTGCTATAATTCTTTAGTTGTAAGATGAGTTTCTTAGTCAGAGGCAGTACTGTGCAGAATACCATGATGGTGGATAAAGAATTCTCTAAGCCCGTAGATGGTAATCTTGATAGAAGCATTACTTGCAGGGAAAGCAAATCCACATTCAGAATGTCTACTTTAGTAAGGACAAAGCACTGTCCCTTCCATGCTGGAAGTGGTCCAATATAATCAAACTGCCAATAAGTAGCTGGCTGACCACCACAGGGAATGTTGTCGTATTTGGGGCATTTCATATATAAATACATTTATACAATATGTAGTCTTTTAAGACTAGCTTCTTTTGCTTAGCATAATGTTTTAAAGGTTCATGTCATGGAAGATACTAATACATCATTCCTTTTTATGACTGAAAAATATCCCTCTACAGTCATATACTACATTATGTTTATCCATTCATTAGCTGATAGTCATTTGGGTCGCTTCCACATTTTGACGGCTATGAATAATGCTGCTAAGAACATTTCTTGTACCAGTTTCATGGGAACATATGTTTTCAATTTCTTGATTCAATGCCTAAGAGTGGAAGAACCCAGATGATTTTGATGGGTGGCCCTAGCTAAGAATCACTGCTTTCAAAAAACTGTAACATGTATTTTAAGTTTCAATCACATCACTTTCTCTAGAACCTCCTCCTCAAGAGCTGATGCTGACACATGTTTAAAATAAAAGCCCAATTAAGTTTGTTAAAAGACACAGTTCTTATTAGTCTACACAGAGTCCTCTTTTCAGAGGAACAGAGACATTTTTCTCTGATCTTAGTGGAGGGAACTTGTTTCTCTTAGCTTTGATAAAAGGTGAAATCTTAACTAATTGTGACTTTCTCTCTTAACTGGACTACTAGAATCTTTAACAAGCATATTAGACTTTTTCTTTTTCTTGTACCAGAAATTGAACCTAGGGGCACTTAACCACTGAGCCACATCCCAACCCACCCCCCTTCCCCAAGTGTGTTTTATTTAGAGACAGAGTCTCGATGAGTTGTTTAGGGCCTTGCTAAGTTGTTGAGGCTGGCTTTGAACTCACAGTCCTTCTGTCTCGACCTCCTAAGCTGCTGAGATACAGGTGTGTGCCACCATGTCTGGCCAGACTTCATTTATATATATAAATACACATAGACACTTTATACACACTTATACACTTCTCTCCTGGTTTCATTACCTTCTTGTCCTTATATCACTTTGTTTTCACTTTAACTGAATATGTATTTGCAAATAATTTCTGTTAATAAGGCAGGTTACAAAGAAAACTGATGCCATCAGATTCACTAAGCTCTGACCACCAATTTGAAAAAGATCATAGATTGGTAAATATTAAGTTTTTGAATAAGTCTGTATATAAGTATATACATACAGAGAGGCAGGGAGCTGTATAGATTGTGATTTTATATAGTTTTATATAGTCAACCCATATATAAACTGGTGATAATTAAGTTCTTTATAATACACAATTCATAAATATATAATGTATTTGGCATTTATGAGGTCACCAATTTACCTTTGACTGGTATTTGAAATTCCTGTTATAGTCAGAGATTCAGAAGAAAGCTGATCTGGATAATCTTCAAAGATTTTTAATCATTTACAACCAAGTGATTATAACAGTCAAATGGAAAATTTTGTTTAAAATATGGGAACAGGTGAGTGCGCTACAAAGGCAGCAGAATACAACAGACATGAGTATATCAATATGTAAAAAAAAAAATAAAATAAAATATGGGAACAGAAAAATTATGCAGTTTTCCATGACATTAACAACCATGGCTGCCTAAGACATGTTAAAGATAGTATCTCTATGTGGTATTAATTACGTTGTAGAAATTGATTTCCTTAATAGAGAAATAAGTGAAAAAGGAAATCAATTGTGAAATGACTTAATATTATAAATATTTTCCCTCACAGGTAACTTTTTTTTGGTCCTCACAAAACTTATATTTTATTTTTCATTCTCCTTATATGAAGGAGTGAATGATGGAAGTCTATGGGGGCAGAAACCAAAAGGCATAGAGGGTTTTGAGAAAAACAGATATTTAAATTGCCAGAGATATGTGCCAGCCCTTGAGTTAGCCCAAGTAAATCCAATAAATCTCACACACAGGCAAAATCCCTCTATGTTAATTCTGTTCATATCAATCAAAACTGGATAGGAATGTGCAACCCTTGGTAATATATTTTTCATTTTTTAAAATTATTTTTTATCATTCTCCCTTAGTATTTATTTATTTTTTTTTAATGGTGGCTTATTTCAGCTGTGCTTAAGGAGAACAAAAGTAAAAAATGTTAGGCCATGCATAGACCAGAATGTTAAGGCCACAGTTTTCTAAGGACTCTTAAGGGTAAAAATTACCCCAGGTTAAACCATAAATTCAATATTTTTCTTAGGACTGCAATAATTCAAGATGGTACACAACATCTTCCCTTACCTGTATAAGCAATTCAATATAGTAACTAAGTCAAAATATTGTCAATATAATGAAATAGCACCCTCAGAGCATAAAATTTAAAAAGCCAATTCAAATTATGGTATCAATCATGTGATTGTATTGCATGATCCGAAGTTAATGCATGACAGAAGTCTTACATTACCACATACAACAATGAATCCTTCAGAAAGAATACATTAATGATCTTAAGTTTTTTGACTCAAGAAATGAAACAAGGAAATTATTAGTGAATTTCCTGTGAAATAAAAAGGAAAAAAAGACACCACATAGAAACACAGAATGAACAGAGCAGAGTAATATAAAACTGGACACTGACCTTAAGCTATATATAATATCATTAGATTTGACTGTTATGAATGATTCTGACTACGGGATTTTCACCTCACAGCTACATGGAGCTCAACACACTAACTCCACAACAAAGCAGGGACTGTCCAACTAAGGTTCTTAGCTATACTGACTTCTATATTATACCCCAAAAAAGGCAGGTCCTAATCCCCCTTACAAGTAACTTTAAAGAATACACTAAAGCCAGGTATCATGGTGCACACCTATAATCCCAGTGACTCAGAAGGCTAGGCAGGAGGACTGCAAGTTTGAGGTCAGCCTCCCCAACTTAGACCCTCAGCAACTTAATGAGACTCTGTCTCAAAATAAAAAAGGACTCAGAATATAGTTCAGTGATAAAGTACTCCTGGGTTCAATCCTCAGTACCCTGCCCCCAAAAGGAATATATTAGACTTTAATCCCTCTTTTCTGAATTTATCCTACCCAAAGATATGTTAGAATAATAACAACATACAGATGCACGTAGAAGAATATTCACTGCTATACAGTTTAAAATAAGGAAAAAAGTAATCAAGTTACAGTACATACACAAAATGGGACATTTTTTTAATCATTAAAAAGAAAGTGATATATCTGTAAGTTCACATGGAAGATCAAATTCTGTGAGTTAAAAAAAAGGTACAGAATAAATAAATGGTATGATCCCATCTGTCAAAGTTAATTTAAACATACATATAAATAAATCTATACTTATCTATCCTTCTACCTGCTGGTATATGAATAAAAAACTTAAGAGCAAATAAGAAATTGCAACAATAAAGACATCTAGAAATGAAACTGGGAATTAGGAGGAGGACACTTAATCTTCTGTCTTCATGTTTAAAAATTTACTAGATGGGCCTTTTATTGAAAATAAAAATGAAAAATAAAGAACAACAAAAAGAACATGTAATTACAATTGCCTTCTGTTTGCATTTATACTCAATGGGATCTTCTATTATAATAAAACTAGAGAAAAGAATGTTTATGTGACACCATCAGCAAAAAAGACCTACCTTTTGTGTATCAATATCTTGTCTCATGATTCCCATTTCTTTATTTATCTTTTCTTTGTTTTTGTCACATTCACTTAGTTGAGCTATTACTTTATTAAGTTCAATTTCTTTTTGCTACAAAAAAAGAAAAACTTTTAAGTGCATGAAACAAAAATAACTAAATAAATAATTTTAAGTTTTAAATTACCTTCTTATAGTCATCTTTTCCATCTTGAATATAATTCTCAATGTCTTTCATGTAACCATGAATATTTTTAATCTTCTCTTTGATATCATTCAGCTGTGGAAAAGTATTTATTAAATTTATACTAGTTAGGACCAGGACACTTAATAAGTAGCACAGTGAAACAGTGGCTTAGAAGTAGGAATCTTCAGTTCCAACTTCCACTACTATAAAATTTTATGATCTTAAGTAAGTCCTTTTATTACTAATGGGAATGGATTAAATAGTCTCAATTTTTAACTTCTATTTTAGATCAAGAGGCAAAATATTTTAAATTTTAATTCTTATTCTAACAAGTATCTCTAATATCAATGTTATTTGTGGATTTAACTCAATAGTACAGACCTGCCTAACATGTACAAAGCCCTAGGTTCAATCCCTAGTACCTCTCCTCCTCTTAAAAATAATATACATATATATAACGAATCTGAAAATACTATTAATCTTATCAAGCTATTTAATTTCACATGAAATGATAGTGCTGTAAATCTAAGTTTAATAAAGATATTTTCTAAATAAATACATAAATGAAATCTTACTTTATCCTGTGCTATTTTGTTGCTTGTATGTTTTTTGTTGATTAATTCTTCTTTTTCCTGCTGGAACTTTTCCAGTGTTGTTTCCAAAGGATTTATCTGCTCTTTAGCATCCTAAAAAAACAAAAAATAGAAATCTTAATAAATGCCCTTTTTATGTGCCAGGCTTTAAAGTCAAGTCATTTGCTCTTTTGACAACCCTATGAGAAAGTTACCACTATTTTCATCCCTTTACTTTAGGCACAAAGAAAAATGTGTCCAGGGTTAAAACAGTAAATGATATAGCCAAGATTCTAACCCAATCTAGCTACAGAGTTTATTCTCTTAACCACTATGCAACACTGCCTCAGTCACTGACTTTATTCTTGGTCGAGGCTGTGTGCTCCCTATTCTATTATTATGTGGCTTCAGGCATGCATTTTCATGAGTTTAATAGGGGCTGATGTCAGCTCTGTGTGATTAGAGAACAGGAAAAAAAAAAAAAGCTCATTTGGTTTACAATTCTCTTATACATGGGACTATGACAGCAAAACCACTTTTGTCCTTACACTTAAGCCTGCTAAGTGGTTATTATATGGTAATAAAAGTATACTCATGTTGGTATGTGAAAGGAAGAGAGTTTTCAAGTAAAAAACTATTTTACTGATCAGAAGTCCCCATTATTTATCCTTGGAACATCTGTACAACATATTTATATAATAACTACTATTCAAAAAATGAATCTCAACCACCTTTTGATCCTGAAATATCTACTAAACCTATAAAGACAGATATAATTATTTAGGATTACTTCACTGCAGGTGTATTTTCTCATAGTGAAAAGTGGTATGGTGTAGTAGGAGGTCAAATGTCTTCAGTATAAGAAGACATATCTGAAAAATCAATGCTGCCTCCTATTAGGTGCGTGAACTTGGGCAACTCATGGGACATTTGAAAATATCCATTTCTTTTACTACAAAAAGAAGCTTTAATCATCTGTTTCAACAGTGTGGCTAAAACACTGAATGTTTTAATATCAAAGTGATTTATAAGGAATAAAAAAAATAAATGCAAAGTAATACTATTTTTACATTATATTCTAAGCCTCTGATAATCTGTATTCAAAATTATTTAAGAACTAAAACACATTTATAGTAATTAGTGATAAATGGATTCAGTAATTTATTCAGTATTTACTGAATGATCATGTTATGAAAACTGCTGGGTGCAGTGGCGCACACTTGTAATCCTAGCAACTCAGGAGGCTAAGGCAGGAGGATTGCAAGTTCAAGGCCAGTCTCAGCAACTAAGCAAGGCCCTAAGCAATCTACCAAGACCCTATCTCAAAATAAAAAATAAAAAGGACTGGGGATGTAGATCAGTGGTTAAATGCCCCTGGATTAAATTCCAGTACCAAAAAAAGAAAATAATAATAATATTAGTATTTAAAAAATAAAAATAAAAAAAACCCCTAGGTTAACGTTTCTAGACTGTTCATAATTTAGTAGGTTAAGTCTTAGATACAAATAATCTATATTAGGCATGGCGAATACATTCCAGTACATGTGGTAACTCAGTGCCTGTAACACTGTATTGGTAAGGAGTCTAAGACCACATCTAGAATCAAATGGAAACAATGCTCTGATGGTACGTGTCTACAATGGACATAGCATCCACAGATAACACAAATACCTCACAAAGGAAGGAACCTTTATATAGATTAATCTAGCCACAACCTGACTACTTCCAATAACATGAAGTTCACTGCTTAACCAAGCAGCTGGTACTTCTTACTATGGCCAAACTCCTCTTTCCAGAAATCTTTACTTATTAGGACAAATTCTGTCACTCAGGAAGCACAAAATTGTAATATTTTCATTTGATCCTCACAGCAACTACAGTTCTGGTCATTATATCAATAAATATGATTTCATATATTTGAACTAATTTTAAAAAGAAACTGTAAGAACTATTATACCTTTATCTCTCTATATAAAGACTGAACTTCAGTGGATAATTCTACAGTCTGCTCCTCTAGTTGCTGACGACGCTGCAAGTTACTGGATATCTGAAGTTTCTCTGATTTAAGATCATTTGTTGTACTTTTTAGGAGTTGAATTTGTTCCTGCTGGTCCTGTATAAGTTTACGATTCAATTCGATCTTGCTGGAAACTACACAAAAACATATTGACGTGATGATTAGTGAAAGGGCACACAAAATACTATTGGCATCATCCTTTCAGTTTTTATAGTACTGTGGAATCCACCAAGGCTGAATTTCTGTGGGCTCCACTGACTGCATCAAAAGTATAAAAAGAACCCCTCCAGTTCCCAAAACTGCTTGCTGTCCTCTCCTGACTACTCACAGGTAAAACTCCCAGGGTAGATGTTATTGAGAAAGAGTACAGTTCATTCAACACTCCCCTACCATCCCTGAATCTGTTGTTCAAAAGGAGGGGAACAAACAAGTGATGCTTTCAAAAAACGAGAATGGACATACTTTGGACTAAAAGAAGAAAGTTCTTTGTCCATGTAACAGGTATAAAATTCACCATAAAAACACATGTTGGCAATGTTGAAATCTTTATGGTTGAGGAAACAGACTATATTACCTGTGTCTAATTTGTGTTGTTTTTCTTGTTTCTCCTGGTTTACTTGTTGAACAGTTCGATCTAAGTCTATTCCTTGTAGTTTAGCTGCTTGCTGTGCAATTTTTCTTTCAACATCTTTAAGTTCCATCTTAAGAACAAAATAGTTATTTCCCCTAAGAAATTTATTGCATTAATTTCAAAAGCTTTTAAGCAGAGTTTAATAGTATAAAAGCGAAATTAATTTTTAGCAACTCAAATGAGGTAAAAAAAGGAAGTTGACTAAAAATGAGAAACAGAATTATGTCTTAATTTTTATAATCTATGAATAAAAAATTTAAACTCAAGAATATAAATCAAGAAAGGATGGGAGAGGAAGGGAGGAGTAGGGAGGATAGGAAGGGCAGCAGAATAGAATAGACAATATTATTGATGTATGTACATTCCATGTATGTATTATATATCAAAATGCATTCTACTGTCATGTATGACTAAAAAGAAATAAATAAAAATTTTAAAAAAAAGAATATAAACCAATCAAATGTTCCCTGAGGCTACCTGGAATTCTAAACATGATATATATACCTGAAAACTAGATACTATTTTTAACACTCTTACATTTCACATTTGTGTCACTAAGAAATAAGTTTTATTCTGCCTTATACTACAATAAACTTACCTGGAACCTCTCCATAATTGTAACATCTGTCAGACATACTTTAGCACTTTCTTCTTCAGGTATTATTGTACCTAAAAGTGTTTCCTGTTCTTCTATGTCACTTTTTAGGCGCTGTATGTCTCTATTGACATTCTGTAGTTTGTTTCTTAATTCTGGTATTTCCTTCTCCTTCAAATCAATTATGCTTTGCCTTAACAGAAAACAAACAATTAAAAACAATCTATCTGAAGTTTTCTCATAGTTAGACTGAGGCTATGCATTTTTGGCAAGAATACCATACAAATGTTGTTGTTCCTTTTCTAAGCATTATATCAATGGCTACTTGATGTCACTAAGTCTTATTACTGGTGATGTTAATCTTATTCACTTGGCTAAGGTGGTTCTCAGCCAGATTTCTCCACTGTAAAGTTACTATTTTTCTCTTTATAAATAAAAAATCTTAGAATAGACATAAAGAGAATATGTAACTATCCTGCTTCTCAAACTTCTGTGCACTGATTTTAGTATCCATTGCTAACCAATACCAATCTTACTTGCAATAATTATTACTAGGGTTGCCTGCCAAACTGAGAAAGAACCTACAAATTAACTGACCATACTCATCAAAATATCCAGGTCAGCTCGTTGCAGTGGCGCACACCTATAATCCCAGAGACTCAGGAGGCATAGGCAAGAGGATCACAAATTCAAAGCCAGCTTCAGCAACTAAGTATGGCCCTAAGCAGCTTAGTGAGACTCTGTCTCAAAATAAAAAATAAAAAGGGCTGGGATGTGGTTCAGTGGTCAAGCATCCCTGGGTTCAATACCTGGTACCAAAAAAATAAAAAGTGTCAAAGTGATAAAAGACAAAGAAAGATTGATGAACTATTACAGACTGCTGAAGCCTTAGAAGAAATAACAACTAAATACAATGTAGGATCCTGGGTTGTATCCTGAATCAGAAAAAGAAGAGTAATAGAAAAATTGTTGCAATTCAAATATGACTTGTTATTTAGTAAAATTAAAGTCCTAATTTTGAAACTGTGTTATGTTTACGTAAATTTTTAATATCAGGAAAAGCTGGGCGAGGGGTCTATGTGAATTCTCCATACCATTTTTACAAGATTTCCATTAAGTAGAAAATTATTTCAAAATTCAAATTTTTAAAAAAATTATAGAGAGGAAGGAAAGAAGCCAGCCACTCAGCCAAATACTACAAAGGTTAAAGATATAAAAACTGTCAATCTTTTTTATTGTCACTAATGAACTGCTGCCTCTAAGACAGGTACTGGCTCCATAACATATTTTTTGTGAACACCTCTGAAGCAATAGAACTTGTATTAAATCTTTTTAAAAAATAAAGTTTATTTCAGAAAAATTCCAAATTCTTATTTAAAATTAGTACAGTAAGTTAAAGTGATATAATAAAGTAACTGCTAACAGGATCTTAATAAAGGAAAAGAAAACCCAGAAACTCAAGGGCTGGCTCTTACATACTGAAATCATACAATGGTTAAAAAATAATGTATACTATGATATGACCAAGAAATGTGAACCTGAATTGATATGTGGTAACAGATCTTTTTTTTAAATATCACAGAAATATTAAGTATTCTTATTTTATATGTAAGTAAGTATGAAGGTATGCAGGTGATGAGCAATTACTTCCACACGTATATTACTTACAGAACATTGTTATCAGACCAATTGGTCCTACATTATGTTCTCAGTACCTGAAAACTGACACAACTAGAGAGCCTAATGAAGGTCAAACATTCACAAAACTGGGGTGTCTTTGTGAAAAAATATAGGCATACATTTTTTATATTTACACACACACACACACACACACACACACACACACACACACACACACATACACACAAAGCCCTTTATCAATGAGGTGCAGGTTTTGGTGTCCCAATTCTTCCCTGCTGGTACTGGTGACAGAACCCAGGGGTGCTCTACTGCTGAGCTACAATATATCCTTAGTCCTCTTAGTTTTAAAATTTTGAGACAGGGTCTTGCCAAGTTCCCCAAGCTAGCCTTGAACTTGTGATCCTCCTGTCTCAGCTTCCTGAGTCACTGGGATTACAGTTGTGTCCCCCCACACTCTGCTTGGTCTGTTCTTTTTTGATAATAGATATAAGATGCTAAAATAACTGTTCTAAGAAAAAGTAAAGAAACTTCCCTGGAGAATGGGCTACTGAGATCTGTTAGGGTTCTCTTGAGTTATTTTCATTTTTATGATATTTTTATTTTTTATTTCCACTATTCATTTTTCTCCTGGTTCACAATTTTTATTAATAATATTTCAACAAATAATTAATACACATAGTTATGAGCTATGCAATGTTTTCATATAGGCATATAAGGTAGAATGATTAGATCAATTTATCATATCTATTTCCTTGCCTATTATTTTTTATGGTAAGACATTTAAAACTTATTTTTGGTTTTTTTTTTTTCTTTTTCCCGAGAAACTCAATTCACCTATTTATTTATTTTTTAATATTTATTTTTTAGTTATCGGCGGACACAACATCTTTGTTTGTATGTGGTGCTGAGGTTTGAACCCGGGCCGCACGCATGCCAGGCGAGCGTGCTACCGCCTGAGCCACATCCCCAGCCCCAATTCACCTATTTTTGACAGTTCCAAAGGCATTGTACATAAAAGGGCACACAAAAGTATGATAATGAAGCGGGGGAAAAAACTTTGGGAGCAATGGAAAATGTTAGATGAGTTTTTATTTAAATGAGGTTCTACAATAAATGAACCTGAGTCAGTACTAGACAAAATGATAAACAGATATATTTTCAGCTAAGATTTCATTCACAATGGCAGTCTCAAATTAAGTGTAGGGCTTTAAATGAAAATATTATTTTCCCCAAAGAAGAGAAGCATAATTTGGTCTCCTACTACTCCTTCTAAGCTCATCTTTCACTACTTTTTCTTTGGCCGTCAGGTCAAGCATGCTGCAGAGATTTTATGCTGCTTGAAATGTTCTTGCTCTGGGCAAATGTGTACCTGGCTCCCACAGTTCTCTGAAGTATCCACTCGAATGCTATCTTCATCAGCAACTTCCCTCCCATCACCCTTTAGCCACTTGGTATTCCCTTATCCTACTGTTCTTTTCTCCATGGCACTGATCATCACCAGTACACTGTATATTTACTTATTTGTTTACTGTCTTTTCCCTATTAGCATATAAACTCCATGAGGGCAGGGACTTTGTCTACTTTGTCTACTGCTGCATTACCAGTGCCCCAGAAGAGTATCTATTAAGTATGTACTAGCTGACAAATGGTATCTGATACATATAACCTTTCTTGTTATTTCATTACTTCAACATCAATAATCATCCTCACTTTAAATGCTATTTCACCAATAAATAACTCTCTAAGTGACGATGACAAATCAATCTCAAAAATGATGCTGACTGAGGAGGCATATAATAATAGTATCCTATACAACCAGAGCTGGAAAAAAACTTAATGGTCATCTTAAGTCAACCCCCTCACTTTATATGGGGAAAATTAAGGCCTAGATCTTTCATAATGTTATTTCCTTGGAGACAGAAAGCCCTCTCTCATAGATGCTAATCTCATTATTCTCCAGGATGGCATCCCACTGGAGGAAAACAATCTAGGAGCAATCATTAGCTTGCTCTTTTGGTTTTCATGTTTTAGTACTTTTAATAAAAATGGTTTCACCATGTTTTCACTTAGAAGCCCTATAACAACTTGGTCTCTTTTTAGTGTTTCTTCTGGAACTTTTCTAACTTCAGGTTCTTTTTTTTTAAGCTGTCAACAAACATTTATTTACTTATTTATATAGGTGGTGAGAAGTGAACTCAGTGCCTCATACATGCTAGTCAAGTGCTCTACCACTGAGCTACAACCCCAGCCTCAGCTTCTTCTCTTAATGTGTGGTGACCAGAATGGCACAAGGTGCTGCTATAGATCTAAGGTTATTAGGTAGATTAAAGTCAGTCACAAATTCTTTGACTCTCCTCCCATTGAGAGGAAGAGTATCTCCTATGATTTAATCTTGGCAGGCTCTTTGGTTACCCTGACCAATAGAAAATGGCAGCAGTTGTCATTGTGTTGGTTTTGGGCCCAGACCTTGAGACTTGCGCTTTTATTTCCTGTCTCTTGGAATACCTGCACTTGGGAAACTTCCTTTGATAGCCCAGCCACTATGCTGCCAAAGTTCCGACACAATGTGGAGGCCACGTGAAGGCATCCTGTTTGACAGCTCCAGCTGAACTCGCAGCCATCAGCCAGCAGTCAGCATCACTGCTGCCAGGAATGAACTGTCTTGAATGTCCAGCCCTATTGAGCCTTGAGATGAGTATGGCCAGTCTCTGACTGCAGCCACTTGAAAGACCCCAGGTGAGAACCACTCAGCTGAGCCTGGGCACTTCAAAAAATCATGAAAAATTATTATTATTATTATTTTTTTTT